GAAGCGCTGATTACCGGTTTAATTTTCTATGACGAAATTAGTGATTATACAATAATTTAGGGTTATTATGTATGGAGGGAATTAAGGAAATGCTAGGCAGGATTGTTCTCACTGTCGCTAACAAAGCATGGGGGCTACATGCTTGAAAAATGATGCAGCATAGATTACAATAGGTTTCCATGCACAATAAATTGGATTTCACATAGTTGATAATTGATCTTTGGGAATAAACACGGTGGAAATATTGCGGTGGAATAAGCCTGTGGGGTGTTAGTCACGTGACACAACTTAACAGATTTTTAACCAAGCAAAAGAGGTGGAAAGAAGCGTGGAATATTATATTATACGTTGTTTTGTATTTGATCGTTTTCACATACACGTAGACCTATCATTATAATTAAAGGGTTGAAAGTATGATAGATTCTTGAGAATACACGAGGGGCCTACACCATGCAGTGAACTTTCAAGGTGAACAAGTTTGTTATGTAAATCACTACAAAGAAATACATAAGCTTTGAATGTATGATATGGTTTGAGCATGTAACCTAATCCTGGAAGATGGAATTGATGCAAACTCAATTAATTTTTCATCGCATAATTATACCGATATTGTGTGGCCGGCAGTTTTAAGGGCTTGGGGTAAGTGCTGGGGTTTGGTTTCAAGGGGTTCGAGTTTGTGGCGCGCCCCGCCCGCTGCAGGTTTTTCACTATGTACATCGTCGTGCGCTACAAATCTAAACACCTTGATGCCAAACAACAACACAGACTTCCAATTATCATGTCGCAATGCTCTTTATAATCACATTACTTGCCAAGAATAACCTAAATTGCCGTCAAAGATTCGGTTCATGAAATGAAAATACAATATGCATGTGTTGTAGAGTATATTGTCTTCGCAATGAAATTATAATGATTCATGAGTGTTTGATAACCTGTCCAGTACGTGAAAGTGTGGACGACATGTATGGCATATATATGGTTAGCCTAATGACACGATTCTGGAATAATCTGTGCAAATGTATATACAAGAGGGATTAGTTTTCCATCTGGTCGACAAATTAAGCGAATTCTTCTATTATTAAAATGTGTTAAAGCTAAAATGAAAGCTTGATAAATATTATGTTGTACTGTCCCTTAAGGCCAAGTATTACGTCTCCGGTGTGAAGGTTTGACTTCGCTAAACCATCCGCAGACTAGATGTAATTTGTTTGGAATTATTCTTATCACATATTGCGGCCTTTGTGGTAGAATGTCCTATATCCGCCGTAACACCTTTCGATGCGTTAATTCATGAAGAAGATAAAACGAATTTTCTAATACCAGATGCACTGCTATAGTTGAACTGACGATGAGATGCTATTTGCTGCAGAACTGTATGTTTGCAGGGGTTTTTTATTTAGAATTCTGTATAAGCAATATATTCAATCATCATGGAGAGTTTAAGCTTTAGAAATTCAGATTAACAGTGTTCTGGTAAAGTCATCTGACAGGTTATTATATCAAGAGAGTTATTGATCATTTGAATTTCATGTAACTGGCTATTCGTCGTTAAACGATGAAATTAAATACAATCACAGAATTCCTTTTTTCACCTCAATTTATAAATAATTTTGTTGTCAACTTTTGCATTAATGAAACTACAATAAAACATGAAAACGGTTTCCACCTTTCATTTTAAAAATGGCTAAGAAAACTCCCTAATTGATTATAACTATGTAATTGCTTTATGTATTTCTTTTGGTACTAGCTATATACAATTTGAGACAAATTATATCACATTTATCTCTTTTACATAATTAGAATTGCTATGGAAAGTGGCAAAAGGTTGGTTTAAAATACGAATTTTTGTAATTATACTCATGTCTAACACACGAAAAATCCCTGGACAACTTTTCCTACCAGCAAAATCGGTATGCGGCCAGTTGTTCAAAGCTAGGTTAGCGCCAACCCTATAGGTTAAATTTTAATTCAGTCTTTCAGTTTATATGCTTCTCAACCACTGTTCGTTTTATAACTTTCGAAAATATGACTTCTATCGGTTCACAAAATATTTATGAAAAAAGATATTCAGCTTTGTAAACAAGCGATTAAAAAAATGAATGTAGAGATTTGCTTTAACACAGGGTTAAGCTAACCTGCTTTTAATTTGAACAACTTGCCCCTGAATGCTAGAAATACTAAAATTTTGTATCAACAAATTTGAAGCGTTTGCGCATCATTTAATTAGTGTTGATCTATTTGCAACGGAAAATACATGATGTGGCACTATCGTTGTCCTAATATAGTGGGGCATTCGTTTCGACACCAAATTCCGATATCCAGAAGCAAAATACTTAAAATAAATGTATGTGCAAGAAGATTGAATCTATTACTGTATATTTGCTACTAGTTTTCCGACTATATTTGGTATAATAAGTCATAAGACATATTTGCTCATCATCTATATTGCATGCCTATTGTTCCTTGCCAATCCAAAAATAGCTGCGGTTATTGTTATGGCTGCTTTCAAGCAAACTGCGGAAGTTAATATTTGTCAAATTAAATCAAAACAAAAAATTCATCTAATGACACGTAATCGTACTTGCTGTCAGAAATCGCTGAAATTGATACGCGTATACGTTGTTTCAAAAAGCCTCGCCGATTTTTGCCAATTGGAAAAAAGAGATTCGAGTTCAGTGCAGCGCTAGCTGCAGATGAAATACAATAATTTGAAGTGTTGGGCGGGTATATCGCTCGAATGAATGACATATCAATAAAAGTGACCGGATTTTCCATCGACACCGACCATCTGTTTAGTGCAGATGAAATAATTGAAATAAAAACCACAATTCAAGACTTTTAACACGAGCAATAATTTCCCAGAATTTTTTCCCAGGTATAAATTTGATGATTCATTCAGGAAAAAAGCGAAATACTACAGTCAATCATGACTGGGATGTTTTGAATATAGGTTCACCGAAATTGACCTGCCAGAATTTGAAAAAAACAAAAAAATATTGCAGAAATCAAAAGTGCAACGAATTTAGTGCAAAGATAATTATTTTCTAATATCTTCGAAGTTCCTTCTCAGTCGACTGAAAAGATTACGCGAGACTCCGTGGAAAATTGGATTGAGGATTATCACGTCCTCTTGAATATAACAAACTGATACTTGCGGATTATGGACTAATGTTAATACCCTGCTTTTAACATCACGATTTTGTCCATCATTAAAACAAAACGCAGGAGCAGAATCATTGTTTTATTATTGTATGTACTCTTAATAGCTTCTATATTTCGTATTGTAGACACTTGTGCATGGATTGGATCTAAAATTAGCCTGTCCACATATCACCACATTTGTATACAGCATGATACTGGTTATAAAATCGATTTTCATTTTGTCACTGTATTAAAGAATTATCGAAAAGTCTTTCTATATTGCATTCATACTCACTGTCAGACTTGACATCAGTACTATAATCTCAGTAATGCAACCGCAAAAGAGGAAAAAACAAGAGCACTTGACTCGCATTTTTTTTAACATCAAATCTTTATAGTGCAAATGCTTAAAGATGGAAAATTTGTGAAAAATACTTGATATGGCATATTTAGAACACCTTCTTCCTCCTTGACATTTGTTAAAAACTATAGTGCAATAATCCAAGTATATATTGAATTCTTTACGATTTTTTACGTTTTAAAAAGCTCGATGCAGGGAACCGCTATCAAAATTAACTTGAAATATTAACTATTAACTTTGAGAGTGAACATCACTTATTCTAGAATAAACAAAGCCGATTCACAGGTTAAACGACTTGCCCAAGGGACAGTGACTATGGCCATTAGCTACATACAGTGCCCAGGGACATTTTATTCTTGTGCATAAATGTATTTGTATTTACCACATAAATGTATTTGCCAAAATTTTGGTCAAACTTGTCATTTTTATCTCTCAAATTATGCTTAGTTACAAATACGTACCCAGCAGATATGAAACAAACATTGTTTATAATTGATCAAAACAGATCAACTCCTGTAAAGTTATTTCGCTACAATTCATGACGAAAATAAAAGGCGGAGCACTTTATCTGTACAATCATCTTTGATAATCACAGTCGACATTATCCAGTGTTTTTAACACTTAGTTTTAGCACATAGTTTTAATTATTTACTATTTTTTTCAAAATAAAACGCGGCTTTGCAGCTATGTTTGAAATATTTTCATAACACAAGACTCTAATGATAAGAATTTTAGAATATTGCCTGGAGCGTTTTTTCTCCGCGGAAGAAATAATCGCTGTTTTAGAGACATAATACTACACAGAAGTACCTCAATAACCATAATTATGCTAATGTTGATCGTTACGCCTTTTCGGCAACTATTTCTGTCTATCTTAGCAGTAAAGTGTTTCAATAAAATTACTTGCTTTTGATACTTTTCGCATTTAAATATTTTGTACAATATGTATAAATATATGTAAAATTGTGGTTTAGTAACTACCTGAGAGATATTAAAAAAATCCCAACGTCTGGACCTCGGGGCTTTATCATGAGGAGAGATAAAATGAAATACTTTTGCCGAAGGCTTTTGGAGGCGAGATTTGTTGTATATTTTAGGTTGCTCAGGCATATTTGATGAAAAATTATTCGCATCAGCAGACACTTCCACACGGCATGAACACTGCTAAAGCTTTATCACTCTTTACATTGTTGCTTTATATTCTTTGAATTAGGCGTGGAATATTCTAGCAATCTCGTTTTTAGCTTTGAAATAACAATATTGTATTATAGTACATATTTCTCATGTCAGTTATACATATATTTAGCGATGGGGGTGTGCACGTGCACTCTATACGCATCGTATAAACCGCGGAATGTATTTTTTTTACCATCGTAGAATGGCAAACGTGTATCTCTAAATCTCCAACACATCAGTAACAAGTCAACAGTAAATTAACAAATATGCAAACACGATACAGAAAACATAATGACAATTGTATCTAAACAGCTATACTTACAGAACTCGAATGTTTTTAAATCTTTGGAAAGTGTCCTTGGGGATCTTCTTAATTTTGTTGCGACGTAAATCACTAGGAAAAGAAAGCAGCAATGAACAAAAATGTGAAATTTGTATGTTTTCCTGTATAATTGGCATTGCTCAATCTAAAACGCTCTATGGTTAGGTGCGACCAGTATAAGATGGTTACTTTTTTATGCACAATCAAAAAGCCCATATCTTAATGACCTAGACGTCAAACAAGCCATTACTTTATGATATGTAGCTGTATTTTGTAAGCTACTAATAAGCTACGATATTACAAATTATTTTAGTCGCGCGGAGTTTTTTTGCAACATACATAATGTCGTGTCCTCGTAATGGTATTATTTAGTAAAATCATGCTACAAGTGGCTGATAGTTGTGGCGTGTAGGGAGTATTTTTTGGAAGCGGGGAAGCCTACCACAGAAACACCATCACGAATCAGATATTCTGCTTATTTTCGTTCCCTGATATTAAAGTAAAGTTATTTTTGTAAGATATAAACCAGAGAAAACGCTGCATGATGGACTCTTGGCTCGCGTGCGCTATGTAAGAGGCACCGAAGTTGTCTCGGGTATTGCGTTCGAGTTTCACTAGACGCGCAAACATACGTATCAACGTCCATTACAGAAAAGCCGATATATTTATAGTAAAAACCAGTATCTCCTCTGCCTAAGGGATAAATTAAAGCAATTGTCGTTACGCATTGAAAGTGTTAACATGAATAGCGTTGTTATCATTGCAATAGTGACTGAAATATGAAAAGAGTGGGAGTCAAAAACTGAGATGTGTCTTAAATGATCTGGGTGATATCGAAATACGCAATTGAGCGCTAATGCAGCCATATCGAAGGAATGCTATGTATTCAAATGCATTCTAATGACAACGCCAAACGCGCTTGGATTCCTTGGAAGGCGACGCAATTTATGCGCTTGCATATTACGGAATCGTTGTGATATGCGAAACCGCATTTCATTACCAGCTGTCCTGCTACACCGCGTGCTTCATTGCGCTCTGATGTTTTATTTCGCATGGAGAATTTCCTGTTGACCGCGCAGACGTACTGCTTGAAATGCATCAAACAGCCGACGCATTGTTTCATAAACCTTGCGCTTTACAAACTCAAACATATTCGTCTTTATAGACATCATCTTTATAGACATTCAAATTGTGAACACTTGTGACCGAATGTTGATATCCTTAATTTAGTATCGTAATAATTCTAAGTTGATGGTTTTGCGTTTAATCCACATAATGAATTGTAAAAAAGGGCCTAGTCTCTCAAAGTCGGTGTGTGTAAATGCCTTCGCTGGCGAAATATCCCGAATAAACAAGGAATTCAATTGTGATTGTGATAACTAAACTAACAACGGCATAATACAAACTTGCGACATCGTGAGTAAATAAATATATCGGAGTAAACTCAATGATGTATGTTGAGCCTTTCTAATGTTAGACGTCTTCGAGGTTATTACCATAAATCAAATAAATGAGTGAAACTTTCATAGATTGCCATTTGTTAGGTCGGGTTAAGCTTTTTCCCAATTTAATGGTCTATAATTTGCGTTGGTAATATGACCAGATGGCGTGTACTATAAGTTTACCAAGTAGTCTTCAATTATCGATAAGTATGAAATGAACCTAACAAATGGCAATGTGTAATTTGTAGCCAAGACAAGTGTTCGCTATGCGCAATAAGTGTACTTTGCTTGAGCGTCGAATGATAATTGAACAAGTAGCTGACAGCTGACCCTGCTTTGAAAAGCAACAACAATCGCCTTACAATTATGAATTGAACCAGATGTTACTAAGATAAAGATTATTGAAAAGGATTGTACGATTTTCCTTGTTTTAAACCGTTCTTATGAATACTTACACACGAGTAAAATTCTCCCATGGACAGTTAGGTACTTCAGTCAGGCTCCTGTTTGAGCAATCCACTTCCCAATCCTGTTTCTCGCCATAATATGAATAAGTATATTCGCAACGGCATTCTGAGCAACAATTACTTTCCATTTCATCGAGCTTACAATCCTTTGAATTACTCAACACATATACAATTGAACAGAAGACCAAAAAATGTCTTAGATACGCCATATTCGACACAGAGATTCAACGCACGCTGACGAAGCGACTAAACACTTTGCGTCGAAGCTGTTTCCATCGCGAATGATTAACCAATCCTTGACGAAGTCTGACTGGGATAATGCCAAGCATGAAATACGAGAGAGGAAATGTAGAGGTATTAAATTTCTTTACAAATACCACTTAGGTCTTAAAATTGACCCCTGGAATCCAAGCTGAACCTCAGCCAATCACCTTTCGCATATGTTGGCTATAATTAGACTTCATAGGAATGCTTAAATATATTAATGTAAACTAATCCTAGTATCTTGAGGCCATTTTGATACTTTCCGCACATTTTATAAAAACGTAATTGACAGATTCGTAATGAAGTTTATAACTGCTTATATCCTCTCCAACATTTTGTGATTTAGTTTTTTAAGGAAACCGCGACTGGTATTCACCGTCGCTATTTGTAGAGAAGAAAAAGTTGTAATAATGATTTTGACCACCCGTGCCAAAAGCATCATTTGATTGATGACAGCATTGCTGCTCTTAAAACAAATTTACTTGACACACGAAAACAAAATATGCGGTTAAAAATAGCCTGAAACTCGCGCAGCAATCTCTGTGTAATTATTTAGATACTGAACAGCTCCGTTGAGATTTGGTCAAATGATCTATAATTCGGGTTAATTTATATCCACTATATTATAATAGACATTCATTATATGCGCAAATATTCATTTCATATTTGATAATTTGTCTCATACCATGGTCGTTCATGATGGAGTTTTCAGTTACGGCAAGATGAAGAAATCATGCATACTCTCAACCCGCCCTTTTATTCAATATATTGTAACGGTATAAAGTAGCTATGCGAATCTTCTAAACGTTAATTGTAGGCGAATAATATTAGATAACAATCGCTATATATTCCGGAGTGTTAAATAATATATCTAGTTACTGGTGGTGAGCGAAATAGTATATTGACAGAATTATTTCTTTGTAAACGTGTATCTTCGTATTTCTAATGCCAGATTTAGCTAAATGTTCTCTCCTTACTAAATTGGCCTGAGACTGAGTGTTATCTTTATTTTCAATTGACTGTAGTGAAAAATATGAAAAGATGGCGGGCGACAGACGGACTTAATAAGGTAGTTTATCTAATCGTACCAAGCTTTTGTTGAGGGAACTGCCACATAGTCAGTCAAAGGAAAACTGTATTCGACGTAATATGCTTATCACATTATACCAGCCACGTATATAGAAATTATATACCATAATTATGCTATATCGTCCCGAGCAAAGTGAAACTGTCAAATATGATTTAAATCTAAAACAAACAGTGAGCTTAGTGCTTAAATCCTTTCGACCGAGTAAATTTCCTTCGTTCTACATGCAAAGTATACACGAAATCATTTAATTATCTTAAATGATGAATTTATAACGTCACAAAACCGATTTTCGTATAAACACTTCTCTGTCATGTTCAGATCGCATTGAAATCGTTCCTGATTTGGGTCGAATATATTAGACCAGTACCTTACAGTCAGATCAGGCCGATATTATTTGAGCAGAATATCACAATTTGTAAAAAAAATTACAAGTTTCAATTGTGGTATACCTTAAACGCGTATACGGTATACCTCAGTATGCGTATACCTTCGGTGTATAAGATTTTCAACGCGTGGAAATAGACGCATTTGTAGGAATATAACTACCAACACTGACATGCATAAATGAATATTTTTAACTTTGTTGTAAACACTTCTTACACTTTTCTCAATACAGTTTACATTTTCTGTGTAATAAGGTTGGCTGAGCTGTTAACGGGTTATCATTTATATGATTTGTTACAAGGATATTTTTATCGCTTGTTCGTTATAACTAATGCTGTTCTGCTGTGCAAATAAATCGCCATCGGTTGCCGTGTGCGTCTCAATTGCATAGATAAAAGCATATATGGAAAGTTCTAAGTTAACATGTGGCATATTTAAAAATGCTCGGCTTTTTACTGTTCGTCCATTTATGGGACTGAAATATACTGAAAATAGCCGCCCCCTATAGTTAGTCAATCATCTAACTGCTCGTGGACGCTTTTATATTCCCTTTCCATGGAATGTGTTTTGGTTATTCTGACAAAGCGATGAGTGAATCTCCGGGCACGTCAAAACGTGAAATCCTAAAATTGCAAACGGAATTGCTAAATTCATGTATGAATGTTGTTACAAGTCTGTTTCATTATACCAAATCTGGCTGGCGTTTCAGGATTTGTTGACAAGGGTAACCATGAGGTTTAGTAAACTTTGTGAACATATTGTAAAACAGTTGTAATAGCTGCATACCCAGGTGTAACTTGTCTGAGTTGCCATGCATTCGTCGGCTTAATTTTAGATTTTGGTGCATGTTAATGAATAATGTCAGTCGATGATAATTTGAGATGACAGTTGTCCTGTTTTCAGTAAACTGCCTGTTCTATTGATCGCAAAAACCCACTCGCAAGCGCACTGAAGCGCTTGCATTAAATCAAGATGAACACAGAAAGATTTTCATAGGATGAGAACAATCGCGAGGGACAAGAACCTTAGGAATTTCTCGCGAGTTTTCAAAAACCAAATCCGGTTGACATTCGTACGAAAGTCATGCAGTATACATATTCCAGACATTAGTCTATGCAACAAAATACATGACGATATGGGACCAAAAGTCCGATTTGCTTGCGCCAACATAAAATATTTGTTATAAACTTTAAGGCATCTGCCTTCTCCACTTGGTTTAAAACTGAACCCATGCACGGAGGTTTTAACTTTAAGGCATTAATACACGAGTTTTTTTCCTATAATTGAACTCCGTTGAATATTTTAAGTTGACGTGACCCTTCTTTAAAGCGCGTATATAGCCCGGTTTACACTACACTTAATTTATCGGCACGGCACGGCTAAAATGGGTACCCGCGTGCCCTTTTTATTCGCGCCAGCCTTTGTATAATGATAGCCTGAACTGAAGACTAATAAAATTGGGTACGCGTACGCATCTTAACCGTGCCGTGCCAATAAATTGACTGTAGTGTAAACGGGGCTTATATATGAGCCATGTTGATGCAGTCCAACTATAGAATGATACCTAGAAATGAGCGTGCCATTTTTTTAGCTGAAATTCTAGTCTTTGCCAACCCTACCAAGTTGATGTCAAATTAAAAACACGTTTACATCGCTACATTCAGATCCTTCACACGGCTGAAATGGGTGACCGTACTAATTTCTTCCATTTTCGGCCTTTGTATTCCTATATGAGCAAGGGCAACAATTTTAATAAACAAAATGTAGGGCAATAAGGGCGTGTAAACCGGGCTTAAAGTGCAAATTTGCGTAGGAAATATCTTGAGAGTGTGACGCAAGCTAAGGACGCAAACACACGCAATCACTGTGGCACACTGTACGACTGTATCTTACACAGTTCCTGGTGTTTGCTGGGTGCTTTTTCCACAAAATGGTGCTTTTTCCACTGTCTCACTCCATGTATTTTCCTAATGTTTTTTGTTCCGAGATTTTCAAATTTTCATATTTTCATGTGTGCACGGAACTTTGTACCCCATGAAAAAATTCCTACACACAATAGAATGACGTGAGCAAAATAGAAAGAGATAGAGTGAATGCGTGTGCTTGCGCACAGTATTTAGCTTACGTTAAGTGACGTTACGACTGCATGTTCTCCACTGTTGCGTTTTAATATGTGCGTACGTGATACACACGTAAAAATTTAAAATCATTTCCATGATATACTTATGAAATTAACGATTGAATAGATTCATAGGGTTGGATTCTGTTAACGATTTGTTGCGCTTTTTCTGGCATGAAATTGATTATACAACAACTTAGAATGTTTTAAGCTTTTACGTGCGTGACTGCGTGCCCGTACGCGCATAAAACGTGACAGTGGAAAGCAGCCCTTACGACGCTCTCAAATTTTAGGAAGTGATGCAAAATCAAGCACTACAGTTTACAACATCGATCAAGCGTTTGTGTGATATCTCTATTATTATGTGAAAACTCAGAAATTAACTAAAAAGCACTGGCTTCAATACCTCTCTTTAATATTGTTTTATCAATTAAACCCCCATTAAACGTAACGTTAATCAATAAACCGACCTCGGACCTATTACCATAAAACCACGGATCGCGTGGTCTGAAATAAAATTTTGGAATGAAGTCGACATACGGCTATTGATACGATATTTTTTCAGCTTAGTAAATAATCTGCTTTACATATGTTCTATGCCTACTGTAATACTCGTATTTTTTACCCATGGCATATACCTATATACTAACTGATTTACAAATAACTAAGTTATATAAGGCGTCTGTTTATAATAATGGCTCTGAGGTTCACTTATTTAGCACGAAAAAAAATAAAAAAATTAATGGGATCTTTCGTTTCGGCTTTCTTGCTTTCACTCTATAGAAATTAACGTCTAATTTGAGGAATTTTTTTAATATTTTCAATTCTTGACTATTCCGTAAAAAAATCTTGAAAGAAACACGCCAAAAAATCTGCTCATTAAAATTTAGTTAAGGTTGCTCAGAGCACTCTAAAAAATTATGTGTTCTGAAACACACCTTTTTTGTCCTCAATTTGACACACCGTAAGGTGTGTTGGCACACCTTTAGGTGTGTCATTGTGACACACCTTAAGGTGTGTCTTCAGTTTGTCACGAAAATGACACTCCTTATGGTGTGTTCTTGGAAAGGCGTGTTTTTAAACACACCAAGATGTGTTCTGCGACCCATCATGACGTGCTCTTTGAAACACAAAGGTGTATTTTACAGCACACCATGGTGTGTTCGTAGACACAATCATTCCCTAGAAAAAGTTATATACCCAAGTTGTGTTATTAGATGCCCTGAGTAACTTTGCATGGTTAATTTACGCAGAAGGTAATCAATTTGCAAGCAGGAAGTACTGAAGTTATATAACTGCATGCAAGTTAAAAAAATGCAATAATCAAAATTAGTATTTTAATATACTATAACTTTATGGATACATAATGCAATAAATAACGTTTCAATCCAATCTGTAGAACAATATACTAAGTTAAAAGCAGAGGCATAAACAAAACGATAATTAGGGGGGTGTATAATGATCTACATTATATTCAGCTCTGCCCGACGGATTTCTTTTGTAAGTGAAACAGATTACAAAAAATGCAGAACTGATTAGCATATATGAATATACATCCTTCCAATTATGGTTTTAGTTACGTCTCTGGTTAAAAGGCTAAAAAGCTAAATATGATATAACTTAATGCATATAAATAAAAAATAATGCATTGAAACGTTCTATAAAACAATATATTAACCTAAAGGTTGGAAACGCCTTTAACTCTTACCATGCATGCATTATCACACACGCAATTTTGACATAAATGCTGAGTATTTGGTACCTCTATAAACATTGTCTGTAGCCTTAAGGGCAATATCCTGAAGAAACAACAGAAATCCGGCCATGCTATCAGGATATTTCACATCAAACACATAATACGCTGCAATGAGGTCAACAAATGCGGAAAGGAGGTCATCGTTTTCACACTCAACGAAGGCTTGATCTTCCCCAGCTATGAATAATTGCTCAATCTTGCTCGGTGACCCCAATGCAACAAGACGAAACTGGACTATTTTGTCTTTGAACAAGACATCTGGCTTGGTGCTTGGCTATACAAAATATGTTTTGATACATTAGAACAAATCTGATGTAACTCACTTGATTCATGTAATTTACTGTCCATAATAGAGAAATAGACTTGGTAGATAATTTGGGCGGATTGCTAGTCAATGGTTTAAACTATCAAGGCCCAAGTTATATGGTAACCGAAGAGACACGGTAAATACTTACATCTTTAAACTTAAGGATACTTGTATGCAACCCCTTCTTATTTTTGGTTTTTCTCTCCACAAGTTCAACAGCATTGATGAGCTCTTCGCTGGACATATCATAGTCTTTTGCATGGTTCATAGCAATGTTAAATGCCTGCTTTAACGATAATTTAGCATCATTCACATGGTCTTTCACTTTTTCATCTCGACCAAGCATTCTGAAAACTTCCTTTCTTAGCTGCAGTCAAACAAAAAGACAAAATCAAGACATTAATTTAAAGAAACACCATCAGAAACCATAAAAAATGCCAGATAATCCTACTCCTAAAAGTAAAAGTCTTGCCAGTTGCCTCAATGGCTTAATTTAACTTAGGGTGATTTAATGAAGACATGCAATTAAACAATGCATATAAGTTCTCAGTTATTAAAACTAGCTGTAGCTAGTTTCGTCAGTCATTTATCACTAGACTATAACATTTAAACATCTAATCCCTGACTAATAATAGCACAACAGCATTCTTACATATAATATGCTGAAAACCATTGAGACAAATACGGGGAAAAAAAATTACTTACAAATTTTGGCTCACTAAAGTAAGGGCACATTTGTAGGACTTCTGTTGCTGAAGTAACCAATGTTTGGACAAACGTTCTTCTATAATGAAAGGTATCTTCAAACAAACCAACATAGGTTTTTGTGGACATTGACCCTTTCTTTGCATCTCGAAGAAGCTCAAGGTTCTGTCGCTGTGTCTGCTCGTCATCTTGTACACTGGCAGAAAGTTTAGCTTTTTTAGCACTGCTTTCTTTTGTATTGTCACATATTGATGCTTTCACGGCAGTTCTGCGACGAAGGTTGCGAAAGTATTGACTTAGCTGCCTTTGTATTGACACCTAAAAAATATATTCATAGAATAAAAATGATACCCTGCAAACTTTATTTTCTTTCAATAGTTCTGACGTAAAATTAGAAGCACAGCAACATTGGTTGGTTATTGCTCAATGGTTTTAATGTCTGAAAGAAATGCACTGTACCTTACCCAGTAATTTGAAGGATTAGAATCCCTTAATTCTGGGAACCTTTCACAAACCAATATCGCAATTCTCTTATAATCTCCTTGTCTTGGATGATGTGACAATCCGAAGTAAAATGTGCCAATATCAGCAATAAGCTGGGTCCGCTCGGAGGCGACGGATCCATTATTTATTGCAGCCTCCACTTTGATAGACAGTCTCTCTGGAAATGGTAAGTTCTGGGGCAGAGTATCAACGCTGTTAGGAGACTTATCTGACTGGTAATTACATTTTTCTTTCCCAGTTTTCTGTTCACAACTTTCCGCACATTCTTCATTTCTAACTTCAAAGCCACAGAAATCAAGTGTTTGCATAACAATCGGTTTGGAGGGGGTATTAGAAATTGGTTTGGAAGGTATAGTCTTCAGAGCGTTGTCTGGTGAAAATGTCATGCTTGTGGTAAGGTCGCTCTATTGATCAAAATGAAAACAAGGCATAACTAAACAATACTTGTTTATTCACAACAAGCTCTAACACTTCACTATCATTCTTTTGTTATTTATAACATTAAAACGTATATTACTAATTAACACAGTTAAAGAAGAAAATTAATTTAAAAGAACTTTAATACCTTATCTTTTTCCTCTTCAATGTCAACAAGAGCTTTGACCACTTTTTTCAATTGAAGGCGATGACCACCTTTTGGTATTACGCTTACGAATTCGTCGTTATCGTCGATCAACGCTCCTAAGGTCTGACCGTCAATAGCATTTTCTATACGAAAGATACATTTTAATATCATGACCTATAGATGCTTGAATAATATAAAAATTGATTGACTGCTAAATTTTGGCGGCATCCTGATTCCTGATGCAAGTCCAGGATGCAAAAACGCACGCCTATTGGCTGCATCTGCCAAGAGGTCAAGGTTCATTTTTCCTGCCAAAAATCCCTTTTTCGAAAAAGTGCTCAAATATCACAAAACAAGACCAATGCAAGAATGATTTTAAATAAATACTTCAGCACATACTACGTCCAGCTCGTAAAAGTCTTTTCTAAACTCTATAAAATCTGTAATGAAAGGTATTTGTGTGTTTTGACACAAAAATCGCCGTGCTTCGTTCCGTTGCTAAGTGGTTGCTATGGAAAATTTTACGCCGAAAAACTGCTGAAAAACGTAATTTTATGACTTTTATTTGTTAAACTCGCCTCGTACAAAAACCATTTAACATTTTTCATCGGCGAAGATTATATTTATTGCGTTATTTTGTCGGAATATGGGGAAAAACAGTGATTTTCGCTCCTCTACTATGCCTCTAGGAGCATGGGAACGCATCTTGTGTTATAATATCTATAATCTAGCATGGATTGTAATGCCTAATGGGCCTTAATTTATAATATCCACAGCTAGAATAAGAGTGTTTTATCCTGGTATTAAAAGCGTATGAAAAAGTGTGGTTAAAACGTACAAACTACAAAGTCGTACAAAATTTAATACGTATAATTATAGGATCTTACCTTCCAGTTGTTCGCAAATTTCTTTAGAAATTCCTTTGGAAGATAAAAAAACAACAAGTTCGTCTACGCACATTGCTTTCAGATCCATAGTCTCAGTATTAAAAGTCTGTACACCAAGGTGTAAAGTCTATAAACTAGTTTTCTAGGTTTTTAAATGTTGAAATCGGAAACGGAAAAGACTGCTGGAAAGGACACGTTCTTCTCAAGGACGCAAAGGTTGAATTAACCCCTCGAAAATACGTGTCTCTTATTGGCTGATTTTACACCACATGCTAATGTCGTACCATATACGGGATGGTTCGGGATGTTTCGGGATGGTTCGGGATGGTTAGTTTCAGATCTAGAACCTTCGCTTCCTATATAGCTCAGTGGATATATTGCATAACAAAATAACAATATTATTGGGAGAACATGGTGGCTAGTCTGCAGAGTATATAGCTTTGCTTTGTTTTTATCACTTTGTATGGACGAATTAAATGATTTTCGTTGTGATTACTGCAACTTTGTGTGTTGCAGTGCTGATAGTACATTATTTTTTGCACATTTAGTAAAATTTCACTCAAACGAACCAAATTTTAAAGTATATTGTGGTAGTTGTCCGAGATCGTTTAAGAAAGTAAACACTCTTCAGAAACATTACACAAGAAAACATAAAGCTGCGGATCTTAGACGACAACCGAACATAGAACAACATGAAAACAATTCTCAGGCGGATGGAACCGAGGAATTCGAAGAAAGGACAGCCCGAAGCAACATGCAACTCCATGCCGCCAAGTTCCTTCTTTGCGCAGAAGCACAAGGAAAGCTTACACAAAATGCCTTGGATTTGGTCAAGGACTCGACCAAGAATCTGCTTGCAGAGTATCTGGACATTGTAAAAAAATCCCTTGTCGCTAAAATACATGAAAATGGGGATCAGGAGTTTCAGTTTTCTCACGACATGGAAGAATTGTTCTCCGCAGATGATATATTTAATGGCTTGGATTCAGCTTACCAGCAAAGATCCTACTATTCGAAAAATTTTAATCTTGTGGTAGGTGTTTGATAGTTTCCATAGTTTACATCAATTTATTATTAAATCTGTACTTGCACAATAGGTTTACTTAATTTGAATCTAAACTGATTTGCTAATGACTTTCTTATTATAAATTGACACTGACATCAGGCAAGCATATGAAGTCCAAGTAACATGCAAAATAAAGCTGCCATTAATATTAATTACTGCTGCCATAACTTGCCAAGACTAATTATAAACAAGGTTTATGAAAGTGATTTAATTTTTTATGTTTGTAGGAACCTGTGGAAGTGGAATTGGGAAAAGAATGGAAATATGTTTTTTCAGGAGGAAGGAAAAAACTCAAGCGTGTTTCTGTACTTGGTTACCAAATTCCATTATTAAAAAGCCTAGAGGTAAAATTAAAGCACATAATGAACAAAATCCAGATGAACATGCTAAGGGAAAAAATTTTTTGGATATGTTTATATAGCTAGTGTTTAATACTGAAATCAATCTGCTATCTTTAATATGCTTTGCCGGCATTTACGGTTAAATTATAACCTGAAGTTGACTGGAATTCTGGAAACATATTGCACCTACATGTTTTCTTTTATCATGTCTAACATCATATGATGAAGACCCCCACAATAATGTAATTAATAAATCAAAATTATTTGGCAAAACAATGTAAATAGCTGCTGTTAATCCATATATATAAGTCCCAACCTCCCAAAATACATTAGCTCCATTTGTGTATTTCTGCCTATCAATGTTGACTATCAAGTGTAAGTCCATCCCCTTATATATAAGCTTCCTCTCTTATATTGACCATGGTCTCATATACTTTAAAGAGGGCCATGGCTTAAACCTGACCATTTAGAAACCATGTTATATACCATAGATTATTAAAACCATGTTATATACCATAGATTATTAAAAACAGGCAAATGTTGGTAAAGCGGACCTGGACTTTAAGTCCACATTTTAACTGGTGTGAAACTTTTAATCATTGGAATATTGGCAAATTTTATCTTATAGGCCCTCCTTCAAAATCCTGATATTTTGAAGGAAGTTGATAATGCTCACTGTTCTGATGATGATGTTCTTCGTGATGTTATGGATGGTGAATTTTTTAGGAGTCATCCTATCTTCTCATGCCATAAAGATGCCCTTCAGCTATTTGGGTATTATGACGACCTTGAAATAGCCAATCCTTTGGGCTCAAAAGCAAAGATACATAAGATAGGTATATATTATTGTACTGGCTTTATTTTTCAATTAATTGATTCCTGTTTAACTCATTCCTGTTTAACTCATCACTCCTGTTTAACTGTTTCAACGCCTTTACCTATTATTCAAAACTGTTCAACTATGTTGCATTTTTAGGTGTCTTCTACTTTGTACTTGGCAATATCCGACCTATATTTAGGTCAACTGTTCGATGTATTCAACTAATTGGTGTTGCAAGAACAAATGATATAAAAAAATTTGCAATTGATGGTCTTCTTGAGCCTTTCATCAAGGATGTTAATACTTTAGCTAAGGTATTGAATGTATGGTTTGCACTATATAAGGGCACAAAAAGTATAAGGATGCTTTTGCTTATGAATAGGCTCTTAATTCTCCCCCTTAATCTTGTTACCACCTGTTTTCTAACATAAGTGTAATTACTTGGCCAATGGCCACCAAATTAGTCAAATGTTTTTACTGCATCATTGGGTAATTTTTTTAATTTATTGAAAAGAACCAATTCAATAGTTCTTGTTCTTTCTTCAGGTTGATGGCTATTGCTTTAGTATAAGTGGTACTGAAAGGGTTTTTCGTGGCAGTCTTTTGCTATGGACAGGTGATACCTTGGGTAGTAACCATGTAAGTGGCTTTAAGGAAGGTGTTGGTGGAGCTTTCAGGATTTGCAGACATTGTATGGGAACAAGGGAAGAATGTAACCATAAGGTAAAACTTCATGTTTTCCATGAAACTAGTATTTTATTTCAATACTTGTTCTGTACTTTGCACTTTATACTTTAAACTACATACTTACAGTGGCAATTTATTTATATTTGATTATTGTGTTTATCAAATTCCTATAATTTTACTTGTCAAAGAGTCATAAAAAGAGGAACAACCGTAGGGTATATGCCTACTGTAGGTCAACTCTGGTTGCCAGTCAATGTATAACCAAGCAACCAATTAAAGCAACATAATTGGTGGGGAGACAGATCTTAGCAAGTCTAGAACCTGTAAAGGAGTTTGTATACATTTCATTTAGGAGTCGGATTATGTTATTTAGGATAGACATTTCTAGAAATTGGACTTTGCTCGGTGAATGTGTAATTTTATCCATAATTAGCAGTTGACCTGGAAGACCATAGCTTTGATGGTTCAGGATTTAGAGCTATGTCGACAGTGCTGTTTCTGGGTGTGGTAATTTTCAGCACATTCGTCCCGGAGTCAGGTTTTGACACATATGCCATATGTTGACCGCCATGGTCATTTTACCTTAAAACATTTGAGATAATCTGTCCTAAGTGAAATGCATGCAAACTCCTTTACAGGTCCTAGACTAAGTAGTTTGCAGTGCAGACGCAATGTCTAGAAAATCTCATCATAAGCATTTTTGTTTTAGTTTCTTTCTGAGGAATTTCAAGAGAGAAATTTGACAGCCCATCGACAAATTTGTAGTTTCATTGAGGATGAAGATAATGCAAGAGAAATCTGTAACCGGCTGTCCAAAACCTATGGAGTGAATCGTTTGAGCGTATTAAACAAAGTGGAGCATTTTGATGTCTGCAAGTGCTTCCCAGAGGACATAATGCATATCTTATTGGAAGGTTTAGTACCATATGAAATGAAGTTACTGTTAAAAGAGTTAATTGATGAAGTTAGATGTTTAACGCTGAGGGAACTCAATCACAGAATAGATAGCTTTGACTATGGGTACATGAACTGTAAAAATAAGCCAACAAACATCACCAGAGAGACGTTGAGTGGCTTAAATGACACAAAGCTCAAACAAACAGGTATAAATCCCTTTTTGCAGTTCTTTTTTGCATAATAATGGAGCTGTCATAGCAATTAAATGTATTTTTGCTAATTATCAAACAATACCTCCTCATCAAAAATCTTTTATAAGGTAAAAAAGACAAGATAGACAGTTGCAAAACAAATTAAGCTTACAGAAACTTCCTCTTATGATTATTCAATAGAAAAAAACATTTTAACAATACCCAAACCCATAATTCTATATTGATATTCTGAAATATACAGTGATGTTATATTTGGGTTTGTTTATAGAAAGTCACAATCCTTCCTCAATGACAAATGTATAATTATCACTTTATAGCATCGCAAACATGGTGCTTATGCCGGTTTTTGCCTAATATGATTGGTGATAAAGTGGACAGTAACCTGGAGTATTGGCAATGCTTTCTGAAGCTGTGGAACATTGTCCAAATTTGTGTTGCCCCAGCAATAACACAGGTTGATGTTGCCTGCTTAAAAGTTATTATCAGTGAGCATCACGTGATGTTCAAGAGGCTGTATCCCCATGCATCAATCATACCAAAGATGCACTACTTAATCCATGTACCTGATGAGATCCTAAGGTAGAGCCAATGTCCTAATTAAGCTAATTTAATTCAGTTTTTCACTAAAATTCGCATAAGTGAACTTCAGAAAAATATCATTGTTTTTGTCAATTGTTTTGTCGATAAATTGTTAAATAGTGTTCTTTTAATGGCATTTTCTAGATTTGGCCCACCACGTAATATATGGACAATGCGCTTTGAAGCTAAGCACAGTTTCCTTAAAAGTTCAATCACAAAAAATTTCAAGAATGTTCCCAAATCTGTGGCATTTGCACATCAGCGGTATAATAATTTTGAATATTTCCTTTTTACTGTGTATAATAAATTGATGAAGTACTATTCTACAGTATACCCTAGGTACAACAACTTTCTGCCACCAATGCAAGTGTACATTACATAAAATGTGTTTTAATTATTATTTATCATCTAGGGAAATGTGTTGGAACCTTATGGCCTCTCCTGAGCAGACCATGACAAATTATCTTTACAGTGGTGATGTTGTCGGCCCAGGTATATTGTATATATTACATGAAGTCTACAATACTCAAATCATTGAACATTGGCTATTATCGCATCGCTGTACTCGCATTACAGAGTAGAAGGAGTCACATTTGTACAATGTGCCTTATTTCCTCAGTCAACCAGTTTTCTATTTTATATGGTTATAAAATTGTGTTTCCTATATTAGGTGATTATGATATTGATTTAAATGGACAATATTATTCAAACATGCTAGCTGCAGCTGCTGGTTTGAGTCAACTGCCACAACCATGTACCGGAAGTAGGTAAGTCAACAAGTTCAAGTAGAAGTTGTCCTTCTGGGTTTTAAAGTTTGCCATTTTACATTTGTGTGGACAATACTACTGTAGATTCCAAATTATTTGCTGAACTTATATTTGCAAAAGCGTTATGCATGTAAAAAAATATTAGTTATTCCTGTTAAGGGTAAAACATGTTGAGATTCATGGAGTCAGGTACAGGCCAGGTTGTGCATTGCGGTTACAAGAGATGGATGATCTTGGTGAAAGAGACTATCCATGTTATGGAATAGTGGAAGAAATCCTAATCTGGGAAGATGGCAAGTTCTTTGTCGTAAAAGTGTTAGAAACAATTGCTTTCCACCATCACTTCATGTCGTATGAAGTAAATTTCACCGACAAATGTGCAGTAGTTGTACTTGACAACTTACCCTGGCATGGTGTTTTGAACGTTGTTAAGAAAAATGCGCAGATGTTCGTTGTCGAAAAAGATACTGTAAATATTGAAAGCATGTAAATATTAGTATATATAAGGGTTCTTTTCGCACTATAGCATTTCTGGTTATATCAATATAAGTATGTATAAATCACACTTTAAGATTAAAGTGTGTTGTACGTAAAAGGGAGTGTTTTTTGAGGGTGTGCTATGTCATGGTGTGTTTTGTAACACACCAACGTGTGTTCGATGATCTTCCACAAAGGTGTGTTTAAGACGAAAGTGTGTTTTTCTGAAATAGGTGTGTTACATGACACGCCTTGTTAATACAAACGTGTGTTGTAAAACTGTGTGTTACACCAAGGTGTGTTTTGTGGCACACCAGCTTATGTTTTACGACACACCTTCGTGTGTTTTGGCACACAGTGTGGTGTGTTTTATAACACACAAGGCCATGTTTTCTTTTCATGTGTGTCATAATGACACACCTTAGTGTGTTTAAAAACACATCTTGGTGTGTTTTAGAACACATTATTTTTTAGAGTGAGGTGATGAAAAAATAAGACTGCCGGACGGTACTGATTGTCGCAATACCCATGTTTCTTGCTGTTTTTTTTCAATTCCAATACTAGAATCTTTCTAAGCAAGTACTTCACACTCAATCGATCCTAAGCATTCTGAGCGATGCACGAATTTTCGACGTTGTAATTATATTGACTAAACGTTTCCAGAAAACGTGTCAGACATGCTTCAAACTGACACGTATTCTATCATCATATTTTTAGCAGTCACCTATCATTTTGAATGTACTGATGCTCAGGTAAAAGCTTAAACATTATATATTTATGTTCATCATGGCACGTACAGGCTGGACTCATGAAAAATCTTCTGGGGGTTTCGACTTAGGGTTAGATTTCGTCATACAACCTTTTCTAACAAAGACCCTCATGCATCGAAGCCACGAAAAACTTTCTTGCTCGTTTTGAGCGGTATTTTTCAGAATTTTTGAATCGTGAAGTAAATTCCGTTTTGAATACACAAAATGTCGGCTGTGAATTTCAGTCTGTAACTAACCCCTGATCGTTCAGTAAGTTGAAATCGTGGGGTTTTGTTGAAAGGTTTCTTTCATGGATACATCTGAATGCCGCATTAACAGGATTATAGCCTTGCAGAGCTTGTTTGTGTTCTCGGAAGATCGGCCAGGGGATTATTTAGCTTCCTCCTTGTCCGTGTTCTAGCTGTCGGTCAGCATAATTTTTGAGCATCAATGTCTTTTCATGCAGTGATCCGAGATAGAGTGGCTGTTGATTAACTGAATTTTGATATGAAATATCAGAATGTGGTTCAATCAATTTATGCCATTCCATAATCAGTCGTAGGGCGCAAATAGTAAGACAAATACTGTGGAAATGAGACTGGTAAAACAGTATGATTTGTTCATGTATTCACTAAAACATCTATTGTCTATGACTTAGCCACCTCATGCAGGTTCGGAGGAGAGGAAATACATTTAATGGCTCAGATTCAGCCAGTTATAGTCATGCACCTTTTCAAAATCCCGCTGCTGACTGTATAGTCGTTGTGATTTTGAATGCGAAATTGCATCAACAAACTCGTAGTAAAAAACGCGACGAATAAAAGTTTTGGCAAATGGCGTAAGCGAGGCAACTATGACGAATCTTATACTTCGTAGTCGTTCTCCTATTTCCTGCTAAAGCTCCCAAAAAAATACACCCGGAGGAAACAGGTTTTTTGTTTTCCTTAATTTTTCCTCTAGAACAGATTCCTCTCTCTCACTTTGCTGTTGCTTATCCTTACGTGGTGAGAACTAAGAACCAGATTTGATCATTGGAACTTAGCGATGACAATACTAAAATTCCTTATTTATTCCCGGGCCCCTCCAGGGAACTGAGATGGAAGCTTTGCTCGCTTGTTGGTTGGTTGGTGAAGTACTTAGGTGTTGAATATACAAACCAGATCAGTGACCTCACGTTCATACGCATACATGTTATTTTTCACGCACCAACTTCTGCTCTGAACTCAGTCAAATATTCGACACTATCAAAAATATACAAAAAAATGCTTCTCAAAGTTTCGACTTAAGGATCGTCGTCAGAACTGACGTAACGGCTAAGCTCGAGCTGTCAACAATGCTTCTCTTCCATAATTTTGGCAGCTGCGAAACCACATTTGATCTTGAAAAGTCATTTAAACAAATTGTCACGGTTGTTTACTCTGGAGTCGAGTGATACTTCACTTGATACTTGAAATATGGCCATTTGAGCAGTTTTCTTTCGTCCTTTATGGGATCCATATATTTTCATGAAACAAAAAACAGAAATATACAATTTAAAAAGATTCTGGAATTGTTCAGGAAGCTTTCTTGGAAATCTGGTACCAGTCTTGCAATTTTTGTACCAGTCTTGGAATTCTTGTACCAGACACTCTGTCTGATGTTTCTCGCTATCGGCTACATGCACTTTTCCATAATTAGTAGGAAGTCTGTAATTAGCCAGTGGACACTTCATCTGAAGAAAACATACCTTCACTTTTCCGACAAAACTTTCAATTAGACAAAGGGCATATCATTTCACCATTTACCAAGAAGGCTGTTTGAAAATGACAGCATTGATTGATCTTATTTTGAGTTGAACGACGAAGGGCTTATCGACTCTGACTGTGCAATAGAGCCTGGACCCGTGATATCGCCGCACCCAAGGGGGCCGCTACCTAGCGACGAAGATCGTCAGAGGGTGTGAGCCTCTCCCCTGTGCCATGATACAACCATGAGTGGTAAACTAATGATGGTGAATGGACGGAGATTATGGTATTTTAGACGGAACAACGCGAGCGACCCCGAAGACACAAGATACCTGTGGAGCCCAGTCAGAAAGGAGCCACAGGCCAAAATTACATTAAAAAATTATAAAAGGCAACGGCTACTGTACCACTTAGACGAACCGACGCCGACCGAACCAGAACCCAAAAGTCAACTTGATAATCAGGAACAAAGTTCAGGGCGATCATATGAAACAACGAAACAACAAAAAAAAATCACAATTCCAACCAGACAATGGCAAGCATCTGGAAGGAGACACAAAACTGCAAAACGTTACATCAACAAGAACAACGACCACATGTTGAGTAAACACTTCCTGTTCGGTTATTGGTGCACACGTGGTAATTTGTGGGGCAGCCATGGAAGCAACAGTGGAAGCGACCAGTGGAGTAGTTGAGGTTGGTGCAGCAAGGAGAATCAAATGGTTCGTGGTACAGTTCTTGGGGGAAAGCAACGCCAATGGACTTCGCTGCAGCTGTCCGTGCTGGTGGGCAGACAGGAGGAGAGTGGTTTCATCCACGCTCTGATATTTTCAGAACAAAGTTACCCCAGTACGGCCAACTTGTCAATTCGGTTGTTTGGATTTCTCGATGATAGCGCCATGGAATTAAGGTCATGATAAGGTATTATTTAGGGAGATAAATTGGTATCAATGATAATAGTCGGCCGATCAGCTAATTAATTACGTTACATCTTCAAAAAAAAGACGAAACAGAACAAAAAGAGACGAAAGGTATTCTGCAGAACCTCGTTGGTTGACCAGGAAGAGTCACCGCCAGGCCGTTGAGGTACAAAATGACATTGCAAAACAAAAAAGGCAAAATCGTGTTTCGCATGATGTGGAACAAAAGCTCTAGGACCATCAGCCAGAACCACGCTCTCAGGACCATAATGTCCCTCCCTAGCATGGTCAACCAAGGAAACTTACAAGACGCACTGCTAGATTGGGTGACAACCCGTAAGGGCAATCCCCCGACACAGCCAAACAAGAAAACTGTCCCGTTATAAGAATAGTTACAAAAGCGTGATTCGAGTAGAACTTGCTTCTGGATAGTCGAGATTGATCGTTTTAAAAGTCCTGAGGAACTTATGTACTGGAGACCGATCTCTTTGTTGAATGTGGACTATAAGATCATTGCCAAAGTTATTTGCCTACCGAAGGAATTTTACGTTTGCTTTTGGGATATTCTGAAGAAAGATTTTGTGTCAATGGCAAATTCGTGTCTAGATCAAGGTGAATTGCCTTTATCTCTTCGTCGAGCTGTTATTACGTTGCAGTTTAAATAGGATGATCCTGAGGAACTTAAGAACTGGAGACCGATCTCTTTGTTGAATGTGGACTATAAGATCATTGTCAAAGTTATTTCTCAGCACCTTCGTGCGGTCATGCATGCCACCTCTGGTTCACACTGTTCAAACTTGTGGAGTACCTGGACTTCGTAAACGCTAACAATCTTCGTTGTGCATTATTTTATCGTGTTGGATCAGGAGAAAGCGTTTGACTCGGTGGATTGATTGTTCATGAATATGAAGACCTTACAACGTATGAACTTTGGTACGATAATCCGTAGTATCATTGGCTGCCTTTATACGAACGTTCAAAGTGCGATCTTGAGTAACGGGGACATTTATCGTATTAGATCAGGAGAAAACCTTTGACTCGGTAGATTGGCAGTTCATGAGCAAGACCTTGGAACGAATGAACTTTGGTCCGATAATCCGCCAGTTCATTGGGTGCCTTTACAAGAATGTTTAAAGTGCGAGTGGTCGAGTGGTTCAGTTAAGATCGTCGGATTTTACTTTGGAGATCATTCCGCAGTAGTTAAGACCTAAAAGAAGGCGTGGAGAAGTTCAACAAGATCTTGTTCGAATGGAAATCTCGGTTCCTGACGTTGCGTGGGAAATGCTTGGTGGTCAATTCGTTGGCAGCATCTTCAGTGTGGCATCTAACGAGGATTTATCCGTCCAAAAAGGATATTTTAGAAGCCCTAAGAAAAGCCATGTGGCAATTCATTTGGTCTTATAAGACGCAGCGTGTTAGGCAGGAAGTGTGCGTATCGGAACTGAATGACGGTGGACTCGATCGGAGCGTTGGACATTGAGATTAAAAGTAAATGCTTGCTTCTTCCTCGTTTATCTCACTTTTTCGATGATTCATGGTGATGAGTCCGGTTGCGATGAATTTTGCAGGGGCGGTTCGAACTGGTGAAGAAAGGTTTCGCCCACTTTGTTTGGGGGAATCCAAATTGCGTCGTCCAAATACTGTGATCGTACATACGGAACAGGTTGATGCGTCGGTGATACAACTGATCGACGCTATCGTTAAGGTGGACGCTGTCAAAGCAGTTCAACCGATGCCGCAGGGACACACCAGAGTAACATTTTGATCTAACGAAGCGAAGTTATTATTTCTCTCGGAACAGTTCGTTGTGAACGATCAGCCGATTGAAGTGTATCCCATTGAAAGTCCAGTCGTTGAAGTAAAAGTTCTCAAAGTTCCGAACGAAGTGTCAAACCGAGAAGTTGGGGACCTCCTTAGTAATTATGGAAAAGTGGAATCGATTGCCAGAGATCTGTATCAGAAGCCGAAAGAGTTTAATTCCATAGAGACGGGGACGAGGATGGCCAAGATGTCGGACATACATCGTGACGTTCATGAACAAGACCTTAGAACGTGTAAACTTTGGCCCGATAATCCGCCGAT